TTTTCCATTTTTTCTGTATGAATCTAGATGATCCTGTCGTGTTTCATCGAATTTTGCCTCTCTAGTTTTCTAGTTATAAGAATAAGGTTGTTGTCAATGATTGCATTTAGCTTCAATCTTAAATAAAGTACTCAAGACCTCAGGCACATTTTCTCCCAATATGGACCTCCCAGCTGATACATAACATATATTCATATATATTCTGAGGAAAGTAAAACAAATGAGGTGGTGGACATCGCTTAAAACTGCGAGTTTCTCGTTTTTTGTTTTCCGTTCCAAGTATTACCTGAAGTGTAAAAAAATTGTCTGCACAAATCCTGTAGAGAAACTGTACTGTTGCATTTTTTATGTTGGTCAGTGTGTGTTATGCACCAGTCAAAGTAAATCCTGCAGAAGTCTGCATGTGTATTTAAAGTGTTATAATGATAACCTATTCTCTTGTATCTCACCTTAACTTAGAATATTTTCTGTTAAACCATGCCTGATGGATTATGAGTATCAATGTGAGCACTATACCAACAGCACAGGAAAAACCCAACTGTATCCACAGAAAATATACTACAACTACCACTTGAATAGGAGTGATCCACACAAAGTGTAAATGAGTAACAAGCTGAAAAGAAAAATGCATGACTTTGTGTAAAGAAAAATTTATTGAGGACAATTAATGACTAAAGAGACATTTGGCACAGAGCAGGTTTTTAGCATAAACCTCAAAGTGCAAACCACTATAAGTCATGTGACCAAGCCTATGCAGTCGTGTTCGAAGTTCTCAAATGAATGTGGATTTTCAACACCTGGAAGTAGGCCGGTTTTCATGTCGTGATATTAGTTTCGATGCATCTAATGTCACATGCTAATTCTTTTGAAACGGATGTACTATCCAGATTTTTTTCAAACTTGGCATAATTGAAAGTCATACATAGGACATTGATAAACTGCAATAAAAAGATAGGGTCACCAAGCTTGTTTTCACCCTGCGAGCCTGTAATGCTAAGTGTTTTTTCCTAAATGCGTGTAAAATATGCAAAAGTTGAACAACTGTTAAAAATTCTTATCATATGGCAAAAACTATAATCTTAATAAAACCTTGGGCCCATTTGTTTTTCTGGGCTATAATTTTTCAGTTAAAGTTACTTCAAATTACCTGATCTTTTAAAAAGTGTAGAAGAATGGACAGTTTGAACATTATCTCATACCTCTCTGTGGCTCAAAATGCAGAGTTTCTTAATTCATTGAAAGAAGGCAACAAAGGAAAAGGTTCAGCTTCAGTTGATTGTTTTGCACGAGGAGACTCAGGCACATTTCAAGACCAGCACCTTTTTAGCAGTGAAGTGTTATCATGATCGCTATTAAAACCATTTGGCTAAAAAAAGAGGCCATTGTTATCTCTCTTCAGGCAATCAGCGCAAATTACCGCCCCATTTGATGTTGCAATTGTTATGCACACAAGGGCGGATCCAGGATTTTTTTTAGGAGGGGGTGCACTCGTCTCTTGCTCTACTTCAACACCAATAAACCACATAGTTTTTATTTTTTTACAGAATACCAGTTGTATTAGAAAACCGCAGGTCATCTCAGGGGGGGGTGCGCACCCCCTGCACCCTCCCCCTAGATCCGCCCCTGGCACAGTTGGTGAGCATGATGCACAGTGCAAAACAAGGGAATTACCTTAAACAGCCGTTTATTGCTAGTCAAACTCTCAGTTATACAGTCATTCTCTCGTAGTTAATTTTGCTTGTCAGGTAAGTGGCCTGGCAGTCACAGTTTGTACTGTTCCTTGTACCTTTTCTATAGACTGCTTAATTGCTCACTTGCGACAACAACAGACTAGGAATGATAATTCACAGAAAACCAACACATACCGACAAATTACTAGACCAGTCATTATACACCCAACCTTTCACACAGCTAGAACTATACAGACTGTGACTGTGTTGTTTGACAAGACGAGCACAACTACAATCCTGGCCAAAAGGTGTTGGGACACCTCCCCTTTTTCACTTGGTCTTGTATGGAACTTGCAGCTAACCTATGATACATACTCATAAACACCGCCTTAACAAGATTTTCCCCCACCCCCGCTAAACGAAGTTGAGGTCCATAAAGTGTACAAGATATGTAAAAGGTGTTTGACTTGTAACACCCAACACTGTTCAGGGGGGAGGGGAGTCAACTTGAATAACATTTTCCTCACCTAAAACGCACAGTGTCCCAAACGTTTTGACCAGGATTGTAGTTTGCCACTTGCCTGACAGCCTGCAAGATGAGACTGACCAGAGACTGACTATATATCTAAACAACGTTTTTAGTAAAAACAACTTCAACACTCACAGTAACACCAATTCCAACACTCAGACCAACATTAACTCTGGCCCTGTTATGACAGCGACTATACCGTACATCAGAGGCATGTTTACTATTAACAACATAATTGCAACAACATGCATATGCATATTGCACACAAACCAATAACCACTTTATGATAACTACTTACTAATGTTAAGGACAAAGAAAAACCAGACGACAGACAGGGAGCAGCATGCAAGATCAAATGCTGTGACTGCCATGTCACTTAATTACTTTGGTGAAAACGGCAGAAACCATTGCAGGTGACTGACTGAACACAAACAAGTGACAAGAAATGATGACATCAACAATCATGTTGCTTAACACATTCTACGCAACATCAAATTGACTGAGACTCTGCAACATGTATTACCTATATCTATTCTACAGACTACTATCAACGACTCACTTTAGAAAGCTGGTTTACTTGAGAACAAACACTGCTGAATTGTAGTCAACAGTTATCGGCACTGTACAAACAACTTTTGACTCAAGCAAAATTAAGTACAAAAGAATGACTGGACAACTGATGATTTGACTAACAATAAACGACTATTTACTGTGGCAACAGCAGAGATGCCAACCTCTGGAAATCTAAAACCTGGAGACTCTTTCTTTTGCATTACTCCCCACCGAATATAAACGATCAACCTCCTGACCCCGACCCTCCCCCCCCCAAATATAAGCACAATTAGATTTAGTCCCTAATTGGCTTAGGACATTCTATGAAGTCTTACATGAGTTACAGAGACCATTACAATTAGCTTTTTTAATTAAGAATTATAATTATAAATTATCTTTGTCAGTGATGAAGTATGTGCAAAAATGCCCTAGGAACTGAACTTTGAATCAGAGAAGATTGAATTTTGGGAGAAAATGGGAGAAATTCCAAATTAAAGCACAGTAAAGCTCATAACTCGATTTTATCCAGGAGATTTTTGACCCGTATCCGTAACGACTCCCGCAGATAATCCCGGAGAGTTGGCAGGTATGCAACAGACGGACCAAAATGCACCAATGACATTCCCAGTGTTCATAGCCAATTACATCACAGTTTAAATGACAGACAACCAATAACATCACCACTTAATTGAATAATCAAGGCAATGACTAGAGTTTAATACCATCAACTGACATATGATACAACTCACTTTGACTCTGAAGATGACTGCCGGACAAGTTAGTCGAAACGTCAGTCACTGTCAACAACAGTCCTATTTATGACTACATTTACCCGGAAGATCATGCTCAACCTACTTGTGTATTCATCTTGAGCAGAAAAATATTTATAACTAAAAATAGACGCACATGCATACACAAAATGAAACAGATTTTAAAACCATTAACTAAACACATCATCATGCCATACTTGATCAAAGATCTGTGTGTCTGTTGTTATCAAGTTGACTGCTTGTTGATTAGTCGAAACACTACTGTACAATCCTTGGCTTGCAAGCCTTAAAACCTGTGAAAAGTATTTAGAGATTGAAATGTAAGGCATAATAAATGTGCATCAGATTTTCACAGTCAGTGATCAAAACTCCTCTAAATGGCCACACTGAAATGTCCATTACTATAAACTAAAGGGGAATTAATAAATGGCAGAAATCAAACAATCAATCAAATCACCGAATTGAAACCAACTGAAAAAAACTGAGCCATCTCTTTCAAACTGTACATGTATCATAAGTACAAGTACACACTTTAAGTACAAGCACGCACATTTTATTAACAAACATTTACATGAAGTCCATTTCTGCAAATAGCAGGTTCTAGTCGACATGGGTGGGGAGACAGGGGTACAGCAGTCAGGGAAAAATTACAAATAAATACATGAATAAGTAAATAAAGCTTAAATGTAAATAAACACCATTTACAAAATCAACCACTCGTAACAGATACTGGTAAATAACTGCGAAACTACATAAAGCTATTTCTACTGCATCAATTTAACTGTATGGTTTGCTATTTTTTTAAGCAGAATGGGCGCTTTATCATATTCATCCTTGGCCTCTAATAACGAAAGCAACACAAATGTCATTGATATGTTTTTGACGGAGTTCATTGCAAATGGAGTTCCAAAATCAAGGCACCGCATGCACTCTAGGTTCAGAAAAATACATCAACTCAAGGACAAGTTTTTGCAGCATGAGTATTTTTTGTAGATGGGATTTAGCAGCTTCACCCCAAGCAGCCAAACCATAGGACAGGTAAGGTAGTATCAAAGAGCGATAAATACTTAATTGAGTAGTCACTGAGAGAGCGAGGTGCCTAAGAAGGGCAAAAACTCCAATAATTCTACTTAATTATTTTTAGTGCTACATTCATTTGTCAATGTCGTATTTCCAGATTGACTGTCCAGTAAGACATTACATGATCCTTTTACTCAAGGGAAGTAAAAAAAAGATCACTACTATCGAACATTTGAGTATTGACCGAATGGTCCATCTTACGTTGGTAAGGACAAAAGATAACAAAGTTTGACTTTTTAGCATTTAATGTTCCCTTATTTGTATTGAGCAATCCAAGACTTTCACCAGTTTGCCATTGACCGTCATGACATTTGAGATTTTTGTCGGCAGACAACAAATTTGTGTCATCTGCAAAAAGATAAAAAGAAATTTTATCTGAAGAGTTGTGAAAACATAGATTAGGAATAACAAAGGAGCAAGAACAGAACCTTGTGGGACACAACATAGGATCTTATTAATGGTGGATAAAATAGAATCTATTTCAGTTACTTGTGAACAGCCAAGAAGGTATGAAGAAAACCCTGATACTATAGCGATTAAGGTTTTTTAGTAAGATTGAATGATTGGCAGTATCAAGGTGTCCTCCTAGTCAAAGAAAGAAGCCAATCAATAAATATTTGTAGTCCGAGATACAAGAAGTGGTGGCATTGTGCCAACAAGAACTTGAGGACAGATTTTGCTTGACGCCACATTACTAGAGAGCTCCAACAAAGAAATGTCCACTACAAGAACCATCATTAGAGATATGCTTGTTTTCAATACTGATTTGATATATGACCGCATGATACTAATAGCTTAGCCGATTTCGGTTCTGAAGAAATTGGAAGGTTAGTTACGTGGTTTGAGCCTGTTTTGAAGAAAGGCAGGTGCAATATAGAAACTGTGCCAAGGCAGTGGATGTCTCTTAAGATGATGGTGAAGACACAGTTTCAGGATAATTATGTCAGACTACAGCAGGTTGTGGTCAACAATGCTAACCAAAGAACCCTACAAGACTGACTCAGGGTTCTCAATAGAAGGCGGCACCCGGCGATTGATCGCCACTTACTTTGGGATTTATAGCTGCTTACTTTGTGTTTAAGTCGCTTTTCTTTGCTTTGTTTTGACACCTCTGGCTTTGCTGAAGAGCCTCCTACTTTATCAGTGATCACCTCCTACTTAAAAATCTATTGAGAACCCTGTGACTATCAAGATGTCCTGCATCTCGTGGAGAGTCTCCTCGTGCTACCCATCTTAAGTGCCCACTGTAAACATGCATTTTCCACTCAAAACTGCATCAAAAGTGCAAAATATGTTCCTGCCTGAGCTGGAGAGGGAGACAATAGAGGATCTGATCCTCATATGTGCAGCGGGTCTTCCTGTGACTCACTTTAATCAGTCACAAGCAGCAGACCTGTGGTTTTCAAATGGAGAGAATCCTTAAAGGCCATTCTTCAAGTGTCTTTAAGAATGTTGTGACATATGATACGCTATTAACTTTTCGTTTTTGTTCACAAGGTGTCTATAAAACAAAGGGAACTAAAAATCAATAGTTGACAAAAATCGAAAGTGTGAATAACAAGTTAAAGAGGAACAAATTAAAGATAATTTACATTGGGACAGGTTGCAAACTTATAGTTCATAATTTAGAACAAGTAGCCTGAAATTCATCCTACTGCAGTTTATACTTGAGGATTTGTTGTATAAAGCCTGTCACAAATCGAACCAGAAATCAATAGTTAATGAAACTCAAAACATGTAATTCTAAATCAGTTACAGAAAACCAAGGATATGGTTGAAATTAGGACAGATTGACAGTGTATTGCAAATTTAAATAATATTTTTATTATTTTGGATCAGTCAAATAAAAACATCATGCTCCAACAAGTATATTTCTAGGCAGGTTGTACTTGTTTGGTTAGTTGCTTATCTTCAGTTGTATTATTTATCATTTCTCAAAATGTAAAAATGAATTTTATAAAAAGTGCCACTGTTAGGGGCTAATGTAGCCTGTTTCTTAGAAAGTCTTCCCTTGTATATTCAGCAATGACTTTCTCTAACTTATTGATGATTTTGTTGAGGTTTATTAGACCTTTAGTACATATTGTATTCTATTTTTTCTTGAAGATTTGGGGACTATAGAATACTTGTCCTGGGGACCAAAAATGAAAACTTTAGGCCAACTGGCCCAAAGATTTTTTTCTGAAAGTTGAACCGTCAAGTCAAGAGTTTGGCAACTAAATCATTTACAAGCGTACTCCTGTTTCCACCCTCTTCAACAATATTAATGGCGAGGTTGAAAAGTACAACTGCAAATATTGAGTTCAGACCCCATATCAACACTTGCCTTTCTATAGATACAGCCAGTTGTTGCTATTCTCATGTGCATGCCAGTTCTATGTCCATAAAAAAAGTACAGCTGATGAAGGACAACGGACAACATGGAAGATAATGTCAATCCTGTTGCAAAAATGTAGGCCTCTAATTTGGTAATACTGGAACCAGACATAAAATAAGACACCAGATAAAACAGTATGACAGCTTGAGCAGTTCTGATGGTTTCCTAAAATAGTAAAGAAAGAGCCTGCATAAACAAAATCAGTTAAGCAGAATGCAAGTCAGAATGCAAGTCAGATATGCGTCTCAAGTGAAAGCTGGTGGCTAATAATTATAATTGTATCGCCAACAGTTAATTTAGTCCCATCAAATTGAAATATTGGCTAACATGCAGCTGGAATACTCACTGACAGTCATGTGTCACAAATGGTGTGAAAAGCAATTTTTTAAGACCAGCTGTTGACTGATTGGCAGCCAATAGATAGTGATTTGTTGGTTGTGTCAGTAAGCTGTACATGTTAGTTAAAATAATTGTTGCATGCAATCATGTACTAATACATTAAATTCCAATAACAACATTTCAACACCAAAACCAGTGCCATTACTATTAAAGACCAAACAAAAATTGGTATGACAATAATTGTGATTTGTTTTCTTCCAGTGTTGGCAATGATCTGTCACCCAGTATTTCCGAACTGTAAGTAAATTACCCGTTGACTGATCTGTCAGTTACATGTATCTGTTGGCCAACAGTTACTCAATTGATTATATTATGTGGTTTAAGAGGTAGTCATTCGAGCATCACAATACAAATGAAGAGCATAACACTCACATTAAGGAATCCAAAGATCCCAACAATAATGAGTTGCATCTTAGCAAACCGTCCCATTGCATTTCCAAAGCTTGGTTGTCTAGAAGAGAATGTTGCTGCAGCTATCTCTTTATACCACTCACTGCAGATTCAAGCACAACCATCAAATCAATAGAGCACATTCTGGAACTAACTTAACTGAACACTTAACATAAGAACTACCCTCACCTGCAATAAACTCTACTGATAGAACTTTTCTATTTACCCTTGATAATTATTTTAATGTGAGACTACCTGATTGTACCTGAACAGGCCACTTAAACAAGATCAAACAACACTCAAACAGGTCTGACTACAGGAAGTATATTGTAAATAATGAATTCAAGCCAAATGCATTTCAGCCAATCTGCAGCAGCTCATGACAAACAATGGGCTGCTTGACATTTAAAGTAATTCAAATTTTGGTAAAAAATGATGAATTATCAAGGAAGGCGACATAGGAAATCAAATAAACAGGAAGTAATATGAAGTCATGCATTAGTTCCACAGTCTTTAAGAAATAAAATCAAAGCATACATACATAATATAAGTAGTAGGTTTCATTGCACTAAAACACCAACAAAAAAGGTAACTTGGTTTTTCACTGCGACTACATGCAGTACTGTAACCAGGGCTGCCTGGACAAAGGGTGTGTTTCTTTACTAAAATCCGAGATCAGATCAAAAATCTGGATCACTGGACTTTTTAAAGGTCGTTGCCTCACGGGTGCCTGGGATTTGCCACGGGCAACCAAAATTTCAAACAAGGAGCCCGCATGGGCACCTATAACTTATGATTCTTTGGCCAACTTTAAGCATACAAATAACGACAAAATTTCCTGCTCATTCTGCACTTGTGAAACAAAAACGTAAAATTTTGGTCGTCAGCCAGGGGCAAAGTAATACCGTAAAATTCCGAAAATAAGCCCCAGGGCTTATATTTTTCAAAGGCCCTTTTTGAGTTGGGGCTTATTTTTGGAGGGGCTTATTTACAGATGGAAGTTTGCGTTTCAAAATCGGCTAGGCTTATACTTGGAGGGAAATTTGCGCCTTAAAATTAATTGGGCTAGCTTATCGTTGAAAGGAAATTTATGTCGGTAATTTGCAGAAAGTTTTTACTGAAACTGAGGACGTAGACCTTTCTTAAGAGTAGCTATGCAAGTACTTTGTCTAGATGGACCGAGCAAATCAAGGCCAAGAGTGAAGAGGAACCACGCAAACAGCAATTAACTGTGACACTTTCTGACGTAATAGTTCTTTGGCAAATACAAAAATTCATATGTTACTGTACAGTTTTTACTTTGTTTTATTTTGTATTTGAGGGCACTTTCCAAGTATAAGCCTCCGGGGGCTTATATCCGGAGCCCTGTGGGCAATTTAATGGAGGGTTTTTTGCGTTACGAGTTTGAGGGGCTTATTTTCGGAATTTTATGGTATTTCCACCGATAAAAGAGGCCCTGTAAAGGGGGGTGCCCGTGTCCCCCGTCTGAATTTCACAGCCAGCTATGTCGCAATTTCAGAACATTCTCATGTCGCCTGCCGGAATTTCAATAATAATTTTCAAGCTCATTGCCAGTCTGACAATCCATATTCGCTGCAACGACGCCAACAGAACATACGGCCTCTAGCTATCTTTAGTACTTTTAAGCCCAGGGTTTTAAGACCTTTATAAATGTTTGATATTCATTCAGACTACTTGGAACAGTAATTCAAGTCAATAAAATTCCATTTCGTAAACTATACAAGTGTAGAGATATTTTTAAAATGGCTTGGCGTGAATCGAGGCCTAATCTGGCAAAACACTCGAGCTATCATAACGTTTGTAAAATTCTTTTAGTGCAAGAGTCTAATGTTTCTTCCGAGTTAAACACTGATTTAGTTGTCAGACTGTGCTTTTCCATAACTATAACAAACCAGGAGGAAGGACATTATCAAGAAGTCTGTGAAAAATGAACTAACGGTCTAGACGATTTGGGCGGATGACAGTTCTCCCGGATGTTGTGCGAAGTGGCATTCCTCCAAGGACGAAGTCTGCTGGGTTTTCATCATCATCAGAGTCAAGGTCGCTGTCCTCTTCACCGCCTTCTTTGTCTGGCAAAAGGTCTTCCACATCATTTTGGTATCAAAGAAATGTCTTGTATGATATATACCTCACAAAATCGCACCCTTTTTCAAAATGCTTTTCCCCCACTTTACTGACGATAGTATCTCGGTGGATTCGTGCACTTTCATTCAAAGTAAACAGCAGACAGTCTTCAAATGAAGAAACAAACAACTCAATATCACAAAAAGAATTCTCTTCCTTGTCGGTGACATCAGCTACGACAATTGCAACAAAGAAGGGTCCCCTGTTCAGGTATCCCCGTACGTGGTCGCGCTTGACGACCACAACACTGTTGACCTCAAATAAAATGGCTCCTCTGACAGCTTCCTGCTCAATCTCTGTGACCACTGTTTCTCTAGCTGTGAGGTCGTCTGTGGTGAAATAATCTAATGGTCTTGGAGGCTGATCTGGTGTTGTGTATGCGAGCAATGGAAGTGTACCTACATTGTCCTTGGTACTTTGATTTCGAACAGTCAGTTGACGGACCAGTTTACCAAAGCTGTCCCTCCAGTCTCTCATCCACCTCTGGTCATCTTTTGCCATTTCTACTGACGATGGAACAGACAAAGAAGGCAGGTCTCGAAACGGGAGTTTCATCTCATATGGTACTTCATAATAAGAGTGTGGGGAAGTGTAGTAGACAAAGCCAATTGTCAGTGAGTTGTTTCAATGACTCGCGAATGGTGGCACAAATAGATATGCAAACTCCAAGGCAGTTGGCATGTCATTTCTGGAGTGCATTTGGCTGGAAAAGTTCTCCACAACAAGTGTCAAAGTGGCAACCAGTTTGAGAAAGATGTTGAACCCTAGGTTGTCATGACATCTTTCAGAAAATCTGTCAATGAACATAATGACTGGCTTTCTCGCTTTTTCTTTCCCTTTTTGTGTTTTTGTGTTTTCCCATGCCGCTGATGCCGTCAACAGCACTCCGACGACTCGCTAATGACTCTGATAGTGATGTATTTCAATAACTTGCTTACCATTTGGAACATCGAGATGAACGCGATCGATAAAGCAAAAAAATCTCTCTAACAGATTGATGGAGCGTGCACTTGGGTCATGCAAGGAGGAGAACATGATATGCAAAGTGGCAAAGTCCTCAAAGGGAGCGATGCACTGAACACGTCAATCAAATGAAATGAACAATCAAAACAGCAGTAAAATGAGACGTATTTCTGTTTGCCTTTATTGAACCCTTATTAGCCATTATTGGCCATTATTGATCATTATTAAGAAATTACTACCGAATAGTGTACGCGCAAATGTTCTGCAGGACATTCACATGCAATTCTGTCAATTCTCAAATTTGCTGTCGGTCTTTCTTGACATTGGTGTCCCTTTCGCTAACTCGTTGCAATAGTCTGATCTGTTGGTCGTCACCAGTTCATGGCTCTCCTGTCGCCGGTTCAAAGCCATGTCAATTGTCGGAATTTACCCCTAACAGGGCCTCATAAAAGGTAAACAAACAAGCACTTGTTTTGAAATTCCCCTTTACGACTTTGGCTTCAGTGCAGTTGAAGTTTCTCGTCTAAAAATGATCTTGAGTCTGAGAAAAACCTTAAGTATTTACTGTTAATTTCATGGCTTTTTCCCCAGCATTTGGCTTTTAAAAACGTTGGGTCACTGTTGCCTGTAGTAAAAAGTCACGATGCATGTAAAAGCAATAGCTACCAGGTAGGTTTCAAATTACACCTGGCATATGTAAATTTTACTTTTGTAAGTTTCTATTGTGCTACGAACATGAAAGGTACACTTGGAGATTTCTTTTATCATATATCCAACTTTATCTACGGCTCCCTATTATTTGCTGCACGATTTGTGGAAAATACATTTCACAAATATATAAAAACATTTTTGATAGTTCAAACGATAGACTTGATAAAAAAATACTGAGCCAAATTTCAAAACTTCAAGATAAAAAACGATTTTTTGGTTTTTTTATTGCCTAAAACTTAAAACTTAGTTTCGCCCAAATAAAAATTGTATTTGCAAGTGCTGTTGGTCAGTCAGTGCGTTCGCTGTATGTGCAAATGGTTGATTTTCCTTTTCCCACTCTTAAATTATTTACAATTGTTTTCTATCGTGGACATATATTTAGTTTTTAATTAGTATCTTAGAATTTATCTGAATTGTGACGGGGTTTTGCCGGAAATCTGTATTTATATAATATTGATGTGGACGTTTTATTTTTATGAATATTTTACAGAAGTTTTGTGTGTAGTTTTTATAAGACTTTTATAAGATTTTAATAAAGATTTTTTTATATAATGGTTATTGTTATTGACGTTTAGACCCAGGTCAAATATGAGGTTACTGGAGGAGAGTAACAAGCCTAACAAAACAAATAGTGAAAAAAGGATTCTCTATTGTTGTTGTTTTTTTTTTCATCAGGCTTCAAAACAGCATAATAGTCTCATGTAATGATTAAAGATATGTAAGGCATCACAGTGGGCAAGGAGTCAATTTACGTTGAGCATGGAATTGGCTAAAACTCAATGTTACCAGTTCGAATGTTTTGAGGATAATTATTGACTATAACACGCAGGGATGTCGGATTAACACAAGGAAGTTTAATACCAAAGTAACATAGTCTCTACAGAGCTTTAAAACAGCGTCTGCCAACACAAACTTCACTTGCACTTAAGTAAAACTAAACAGCGTCTGCCAATAATAACAAACTCCCACTTGAACTTCAGATATCTTACGGCCTCCACCACCTTGTAAACACCGAACTTGAGAATTGACCTTCGTCACACTTGACTAAGCACAGCACTCCAGCTCATGGGAAAAAACTTAGTTCGTCAAAACAACTTGCTTGCTTGCTTACTGTTTCACATAAGGTTCTAGAAAATACTAAACAGGCAAATAGTATATAGTAGCTTTTTGACATATTTTATGATTTCAGTAACTGATGCAAATCTGCTGACTCATGCTGAAATGTAAACATGCCCTAATTAATTATACATGAATTAATGACCCAAAAATGTGGTGAATGTTTGAGAAGGTCACGCAACTTATGACAGCAACTTTAATACATAACAAGTCTCAACAAAGACAAAACGTCTTGGTGTGGCATTTTGTAACTTTAAATTCATCATAAAACAGTTCAAAAGGAGCGCTCACTCGTAGAATGTTTTTCAGCACTCGAAGAGAAATCTTGTGTCTCTGCGCAGCCATGTAATTCCGGTCTCATTTTGTGAAATAGCCAAAACAAGCCGAAAAGTCACGAACTTGGGCGCCCAGCCTTGTCCTAAAACTAGTGCATAATTTCATAGCTATTTTTCATACCCCAAACTACCTTGGGTTGCAGTGGCGCAATCAACTTAGAGTCTCCTCTGATCTGACAGGTCACACAGGAGAGTCGGTTCAAACCCTGGGCAAGCCAAAATGGTAATTCTTTCTTCCTCAAATAAGTTAAAGAATAAATCAAAGAAATCGAATTGATCTCGAGACATCTCGAACTAATTCAGCTCTCACTTTGTCAAATAGTCAAATAAAACCGAAAACCTACAGACTTGTTGTCCCAAAAAAAGCAACTTTGGAACATTCCTGAACTTTGATCCTTTTCTTCACGCTTCGCTGAAGTAATAAAGTGAAATGGTTTTGAAGCTCAACAGACTTCTTTCTTAGATGCTCTTGTTAGCTTTTTGAGACTTGATCGTGCAGGTTCACTAGCATTCCTATCATGTTTTAACTTTCTGACCAATAGAAACATATTGCAGGGGCACCCAATGTCAATTTTCAGAAAATATCTGTTCGGAAGACGATTTGAGATCTAGAGTTTTCGGAACATTTGTTGTAAAATTTCTTGCTTGCTTGCCTCTCCTAGGATTTTGGAACATTCAATTAATGGTATGATTCCCCATTTTTTTACAGATTTTTACCCTAAAAAGGTCACCTAAAATTTTCGGGAGCCTTTTTTTCTGGCTGAAATTTTCGGAAAGGTAAGTTTTGATCTCTATAATTTTCGGATCACTAGACTTTCAGCTAGGAAATCCGAACAGATGAAAAATTTTACAGGGATATATGCCTATATCTACCGTTTAAATACTAAAATAGGTTTAACAATGCTATGTTTAAGTGGTTTTGAACTATATTCTCATTGGGTGCCACTGATATTGAATTAATTTACACAGTCACAACTTGTGAACAAAAAACAAAGGAATGTGGACATCGGGCAATAGCTTGGACCAACATAAACTACAGCACCGTTGTTTTCAATCTTTGATGTTTTATTCTTTTTTAACCGCTTTCATAACCATACAGTCTCCTCTTCTAACCATGAGTTGAGGAAAAGAAATTTAAAAACAGAAAAAAAAAAGATGATTGGCCCTGGAATGTTAGCTGTTAGCTGAGCTGACCCTTAACTATCTATTTATACCCTTGAGTTGGAATGACAAGAAATAGTCGGAGAGACAATTAAATTATAAAAATGACAACAACATAAAACGTTTTTCTATAGAGAATTCACCATTAGACGGGACCGTTCAGTCAGATCATTCTGCTATAATATGTGGCATGCACGATAGTAATGGGCTTTGAGCAAAAACTTTTGAAGAAATCTTATTTTAATTCACTTTCCAAAATCACCTGTCTGCCCAGCCAGCAACTTCTGAATTTTGCCAAGTGCCAAACTTGCAGTGTGAGCTGGCAGTGTTAAAATGGATATATATATATTTTTTTGAAAGCAATGATTTGCAACTACTTTTTGTCAAGCAGCACATTTCTCAACCAAAAATCAAGTAAAAAGCCAGCCAAGGATAACAAAAAATCTTAATTGATAGCAGCTGTATTTCATTTTGTAGTTCCAGTGCAAAAAGACCGTTAAAACATAATAAGATGACACAAAACTCTGTCACCAGATGCTGCATAAAATTTGCGCTAGCTCGTCACCTGTTAATTCTTGCTCTCTGCCTTTCTCTTCTTTCTCTTTCCCTTTGCTCTTGGCAAATAGGTTGAATCCATGTCAAACCGCTACTGTTTGTTGCCATAACAATTTTTTCGAGATAGTTTACTAGAGACTGAGCATTATTGGCCATGTGCAGTCACAAAATACTTATGCTATAAAATACTTGAAAACAAGTTCCTAAAGTAAACAAGTTTTTGAATGTGACGACAATGGCCACAAAAATTTCTTGCGCGATTTCCCACAAACTAAAATGCGGGTTGCCCAAAGGCATTGCACGATTTGCCAAGAAAATATAACATACTCCGCCCCCGATGGGCACACCGGATTACCTCCCCCCCACTCCCCAACAGTGTACAGACAGATGGCATACGCTGACGTCACAACCTAAATTTCTCAGATGGATAGTTTACCAAATTGTCTTTAAGCTATGAGGCCCCACTCACATGAAGTGCATGCAAGGAGCTCCACCATGATCAAAGAATCCACCTCATTATTGTGGATCATTTCAATGATGGATTTTGGTAAGGGAACAAAATATCCATTTTCGGATTAAAAATCTGGATTGGATTTTAGTAAAGAAACGCACCCAAAGTTGACTATAATCAGGTAATTAAATTACATTCCAAGAAAGTTGGTTGCCAATCATAAAGTTTGGATCAAAATCAAAATCTTCAGGCATGAACTTTTGAACCCACTGATGAAGAAAGCCTTTATGTTCCCTGAGAGGTAGGTTAGACTGATTGGCAGATACAAAAAACATACACGTTAGAAATATTTTGACTTGATGTCACATGTTATTGCAAAGAGTAGCAATATGCTAATGAAGAAATTGCTAATAAATGACCAAATAACAGCTTGTGTAGAACAAAATAATGTCTCCTGGGTGTTGTATGGTAAGTTTTGGATAGAAACCATTGTCTAATATTTATTTAAAATTTTGATTTCTTGCAACCATTTGCAATCAATATTTAAATTTTGTGCTTTGAGCAATTAATTGTTTTTGTACAAGCTGCTGATTGGCCCACAACCACCTTTCTTGGAATGTGTTGATATTTTCCTGCAATCCAAAAAGTCAGTTCTGTATATGTGGATTATTTAAAGCAGTTGCACATTAAACACTGCTGTGTATTTTCATTTTTATCAATACCAATTAATTAATTGGTATGTAATTAAGATAAATTAGGAAATAACATTGCTTTTATTAAAAAAAAGACAGGAAAAAACATTGAAAATGCAAAAAAATATCCATGACAAGTCTTGGCTTACGGTTACCTTTCTAAATCTGAAACTAGCCTTTCTGCTGAATCTTCTGGGAGTACATCATACATGTCTCCTGGTTCCAGTCGCCTATCATAACCTTTACTGAACAGTCCATTTACCCACCTTTAAAAACAAAAGTATATTAGTTTGTTACTTTAAATATGTGCAGGGGTTTCAATAAAAATTGAAGTAGCCAGCAGGTTTGAATAGAGTAACCGACTGTATCAACAAGAGTCCGTTAGTCCCTTTTTAATGGGGGGGGGGGAGGGGCTCTGGGCATGTTCTGCCCCAGAAAATTTTGAAATTTCAAAGCCCTAAAATCTATCTAAAATGCTATTATCAGTGTCTGGGGACTAAATTTGAGGACAAAGAGAGTGTTTCTCATTCAAGAAAATGTATCTTTCAATTTATCAGTCACACAATCAATTCCTGCAAGCAATGAACAAATGATGAAAACTAAAGTACATAATTTTGCACGTACACAAATTCTGCGTAAACCGATAAAGAAACTTGTGAAAAAATGACTGAAATACAGCATTCACATGACTAAAGCATAAAGTATAACCAGTGGGCCTTAATGAAGACACATCATAATAATAAAATGTTTCAATTCAGATTTTATGATATATTCTTTTATTACAATGTTATTCAAACTAGTTGCTTCTTCTTTCTAGAAAGAAGTAGCCGACCTCTAGGAGCAAAGTAGCCGACACATTTTGTTGGCCGTCCGTACTTATTGAAACCCATGTATGTGTATCAGTAGGTGTAAATGCTTTTATCTCTACACGCCTTCCAATAATTTACAACATTTTAGCTGTACATTCAGCTATAAAAACAGAATTCATCATACACCAAAAGGCCTCAATCCTATACCTCTACCCCTACACTTTGACTTATAGAAGCAGGGTTGTCCTGGTACTCTCATGACTATCCCACTGGTAAGGTCATAAACCAGCTGGGATCAAAACATATTTAAAACATAGGCACGTTAAACGTGCATGAGCTATTTTGAATGCTTCAGTGTAACTATAATACTTCGGTGTAACCTTACCAAGAGTGATGAATCTACCTTTTTCATCCTAAATGTAGATTTGGTTTTTGTGCGAAATTGGGTATTGCGCTACATAAATGAAAACACAAAACGCTCAGCTGAGTCGATCCTCAACCTATATATTCATTTTCCTCTGTCTTTCCCTGTTACATCTGGTGCAAGTTAAACAAATTGTTGAAGTAAAATAAATTTGTACTCACCAAACGTTGATTAGAAGGAAAACTCTAAGGTTTCCGCGGAGTTTCTTAAGCCAAAATGTGACTCATCGAATACTGAATAGTTACGAAATACCAGGATTTTTATCATTGTGGTAGATGGTTGCATCATCATAATTCACGAGGTTTTCAGGTGTGATTCTACAGTGAAACAGTCTTTAACTCCGACAACTTATTTCTTCATGTTTTAAAAGCTATTGCTTCTTAAAAGACAAGAGCCTCTTTTAAGGCATTGGTTACAAAACGAAACAGGTCTTCATACGTTCAAGTTACCATTTATCATTGTGAAAAGCCAATCTGCATGAGATGTACAGTCACACAGCTGGCACGTGAAAGTGTTGGACTTTGTCCCCTTTCGTGGTTCGTATGTGAGGGAATTCGAGTTATCACACAGTAATCTAGTAAACAGAATTATAAAAATAACTCATGCACACAATTTGCATGTGAAGATGTTGGTCTTTGGCCCTTTTACAATTCATACGTAAAAAAAAGGCAAATTGTTTCACTACAAAATTTTCTCAAGCGATTTTAAGAAATCACCTCGGCTTTATTACAACACCTGCAATTAAATTATGTTACATGCAACGTCAAGGCTGATAGCCTAACATTTATTAACTACCAAGAAAATTATCAAACTGCCGAAATATATTTCTATTTGTATCATGTTACTCCACTCAATACAACAGTATCTAATTTTGTGTCAACTAGATTCTTCCAATTTTATTCCCTAACGCTACTGTTTCTACTTAAGTTACTCATCTTTACTAAATAAAATAGGTTTCAGAAACTATAATACTTAGTATGCAGGAAGGATGTATTATGTTGTTCACTTATTATTCTTTTTTTTTTGTTGTTTTGCCAGAACGAAAAAGGTCTGCTGAACTTTGTAAGCGAGAGAATGATATTTTTAAAGCTTGTTTACAGGATTAACAATACTCGGTACAGCTTTCACAAAAATAAGCTGCCTTTTTAAACTTCTAAAACCACATTTTATAGGGCGCATACTTTCGAATTAACGTCTATATCTAAATATCAATTATTGCTTCATTGGAAGAGCTTTGAAAATATATAATCTTATAAACTCTACCCAGTTGTAGCGGGTGAAACAGAACTCATACTGACGTGCGTGGTACCGATAGCCGAATTAGGTCAGAAATGCCTTGAAACAGCATCCATACTAAAATATGAACCCTTAAACAGCTGCATCACTGTACACAGCGTTTGAATCATGAAGATATTTAATGTAATTCTTACAAACACCAGTAGCCGTAATAAAAGACGAAAAAATTGTGAAGAATCAAGATGGCGGTCTCAAAGTGCCCTTGTTCGACCAGGAATATACTTTAAGTACATAACTTTTTGCTACCTAGAAAGTATACTTGAAGTATACTTAAGGGGAAGTATACTTCAAGTATACTTAAAATATACTTAAAGTATACTTAATGCATCACAGAACTTAAGGGCAAGAAGTTGGTGTCATAACTATCTATTTTTATTGTCTCTCTGGTGCTAGTTTCAAATGACATTAACCATCACGGGAATTTCAATGGAAAATCAAAGTCACACATTGTGAAAATAGTAAATCACGCATCACGCTGCTATGCAGGGTTGTCATTAAGAGCCGGGGGCCGGGGATTTTCCCCGGCTACTACGATAGTGGCCCCTGGCTACTTTTATTAGAAAATAGAAGAAAAATAGAACCAAAAGAAATCCCTAGCTGTTTGATTCCCCGCCTACTTGTTGTGTTTACCCGGCAACTACAAATCTTAGTGACAACCCTGGCTATGCCCAATCATGCCTGACATGACTACTTTGGGCCAGATCAAATGTCAAGGAAAACCCCTTTCCCACCCTGGGGATAGGGTAGTGATCCTTTTTTTTGTTATCAAAGTTAACCTGTGTACATCAGCTTCCTCCTCCCCTATAGCTTAACTGTGGGTACAGAGAGGTCCTACCTCTCCCTGATTGTATTTTTTGGTAGCAAGGAGAATGTCTATAGGACATAAAGGCTAATCAAAATAATGTGCACATGATGTTCTTTCAAGTTCTTGATATATGAAAATGGTTTTGTTTCTCCTTGATAGCAGCAGAAAGTTTATTGCAAGCATTTTCTGCCACCTACACAAAGTTTTTTAAGTTTATTTATCCTTGTGGAAATGCATCACGGTCATGACAGCAGGTGGCAATTAATTAAGTTTATCCTAAATGGCTTTAGTTATACCAAAATAGCTACAATGTATAAACAACTTGTCACAAGCATCTCTCTCTCCCGCCCTCAGGAATACAAATTTAAATCAGTCACAAATGATGACAAACACCGCTTCTTTTTTTTCCACCTATATTTCGATCACATATATTTCAGTGATCTTCTTCAGGGTGACTAACATAGATGTAAATTTACACAAAGCTAAATATCCTAATCAATATAATGCAACCTAAAAACATATGAATTATCTTCTCGATATTTGAAGGTATGTAAAATATATATACTTGAAGCCCAAAAAGAAGGATCTGCTGTCTGTTTTTCAATAATTTTTCAACGTGAGCTGGAAGATTTAAGTTTGGAATGTCGTTTTCAAGTTATACAAAGTCAGCTGAAATTGTTTTACCTCTGCTACCGTCAACCTATCAAATTAATACATCGTTCATGCGATTTAAAAACGACTCTGTGTACAAGTAATAACATATTAGTAACATGAACGAGGCAAATTTCACAAGCGCAGGTTGGTCAATTCATGACAAAGGGGATCAAAAATCGAATAATTGAAAGCCCTAATTTAAATGCTTTATAGATATGGCGATATGTTCATCTGGTCAGTCATCTTGTATCAGAAATGTATAACAGTTATATTACAGATATTAAAACACATAACGTGGTCAGCTCGTGGGTTAAATTAGCCCATTTGAAGTTTTGAATTACTCTAACACAAACCGTAATAGTTATCACGAGATATTAAAGCTTACTTGTATCTTAGCTTTTCGATCCAACCCCAAAGTTGAGTGTCAGATCTCGTAATAACTGCTACAATGCTATGCCTGCTTAACAGTAGTTTTAAGATTATAATTAAGTTGATATCTCTACGTTATAATACACTGATTACCAGAACGTTAGACGGGAGAAAAATGAAGCATCTTCCAAGGGGCTCCGCAAAGTTGTGCGTTGATCCTTTTGCGGTGAATCCATTGTCCGTTTGACTCACGCAAGGATCATCACCTGGCGCGAAAAATTCAAAGCCTTTCTCGCTTCAACTCCTTCCTTGAATTATGTCGTGATATAATCCATGCTAATCCGACCTAATTTAAATGTTAATCGTCTTACCATATACCATATGGACTCTCAAAGTACGTAAATATTGATCTTTTAGAAAATCGGCTTCAATGGGATAAGGACTGGGTAAGAGTATGCGACGAGCGCAAAAGCGCGGCAACAAGCGCGGATAAAGGTTTATCCGCACTGGCGGCAACCGTCCACGTGGAGAAAATTTTGCAGTCTTCCATACTAGGGTATCTAAAGATAGTAATGCTGCGGTACATTCTGTTGACACTGACATCATCTGCTTGCGTGAGACTTAAAAGAATCGAAAATGACATTGAATGTGTCCAATTTACATGTTGGAAAGTAATAATTACTCTCAGTCTATAAAAAAAATCGTGGGAACGTTGTTTAGAAAATGATCAAATGGTTATCAACTCTGGTTTTCCCACAGTAAATTGTAGGAAATGATAGAAATTCAGATTGTTAATATACGGTGTACTATCTTTTCTCTGGAAAAACGATACTTTTCTTGCTGTTTATTGCACTTTATTAAATAACAGTTATTTAGGTATATATTTATATATTTATTTGTAGAAAACAAGGACACAAAAAACGGGGAAAAAAAAGAAAGAAGGAAGGAAAAAAAGATAAGGTATTGAGTTGGACTCAAACCCGGCACCTTTGGCTCGACGCGACCATACCTTACCACTACCATAGGATCTCATAGGGAACACACGCTCTAATTTGTAAACTGCAAATGGAAATTAAATAAGGGATAAAATAATAACTGTTTTGTTTTATTCTTGAATCTGCTGTGGTGCGAACTGAAACTGAAATTGTTTTACGATGCGAAAACTATGTTAAAGTCGACGCTTTAAGCTGCTTTAACCGTTGTTGATTTCACAGGGATCGGTTTTCACATGACGTCATCAAAATTCAAACTAAGAAACTATCGATTCTTCTGAGATTCTGAGTTTCATGAGGTATTACAGCACCTAAACACCTTTATTTAAACAGAGGTTTGGTTCGAAAGGGTTCTTCGTTTTGCGATAGAGGACGTTTGAATTTCTAGGATTTTGCGTGACGCGGCATTTAGCTGGCGGCCGGGACTGCTCTTCTGTGGGTTAAAAACATTACCAGTTTTGGGAGATTTTGCTATCTAAACATTCCTTCTGTCAGAATAAATATCACTTTAATAGTTTATGAGTTTTTTAAGCGATGAATTAACTCATTAGTAGGAAAACTCAAAAACAGATGTTTCTGTTGGTTTCCGGCGGCCATATTTGTGCCCCTCAAAGGGACACAAACATGGCGCCTCCATACAAAGCTTTATAAATTTGGGTAAAACGTTTTTCCTAATATCTCGCATATGAAATATCGCACAGACCTGATTCTTGGCAAGGTCTTTTGCTTATTTATCTTCTTTTATTTCCAAGATTCGGGACTTTCTGTATCGAATGGTTTGCAATTTTATTTTTGATTGCGTGACAGTGAAAACCGAGAATAGGGATCAGACTACGGTCGCCTGGGACCTGCCTCGTACCCAGACGTCTCTCTTTTGATGAAAATGTGCGCGCAAAGGAAGGCGGGAAGGAGACAACGGGCGAGCCTGCCGTCTGTACCCTTCCTATGGTCCCTTGCGGTTCATGTCACTCGTTTCGCGCTCGCCTCTGCCATGCGAAAAACGAAGCGCCTGAGGAGGAGGCTGCGCCTGGGACGGTTAGATAGATGTTACGTCACGCAAGAAACGGTGACCTTTTACCGCCGTCCTTCTGGGACGCTATGTTTTCGCCGGGTTTCTCGTCGTGAAGACAACGGTGAAACCGTCGGTGAAACCGATACGAGTTCATGCATATAGTATTGTCACTTTTCTTCTAAAACTGAGTAGCCAATGAGTTAATTACGCGTTGGCTTGTGTTTACATTGATTTACTTATCGGTGAAATGAAAAAAAAAGCGAAAATGTCTGAGTTCATTCATAACTTAGCTCGCGGCCACATGGCGACTGCTTGTTTTCTACCCAGTGTCGTCCGCCATGGCAGAGGAAAATTGCCGAAAAGAAAGGTAAGGCCCAGTTCAAACGTTCATCTTTTCATGTACCGAACTTTATACCTGTTTAGGTCGACCCAAATGGTTCGAGGTTGACTCAGGCGTCGAACTTAAAGTGTAGTCGAACTCGATTCATTTTCAGGATGTTCAATGGTCTAGAATGCTTTAAACAAGTGAAAATAAGTTTTAGTAATTTGTGCTTTAGTTTCGGCACATGACAAGTTCGACGTTTCAACTGGGCCTAACAGTGATGACTGTAGCCGGCTTTTTATACCTTAAAACTGCATTTTTTATCAAGAAAAGATTTCTTTAACTCAAAAGGTGTTGGCTTAGGAAAGGAAAGTTCAAATAAAAACATCGACTACAGTTTTGAAAACTAGCTACAGTAGCTAGCTTTAATTTGTACCCTTATTCTTCTGATTGGTATTCTTCGTATAAAATAAGAAACTCTTCTCAGTAATTTAGCCTTCTGCGAAAGAAATGACAAGCGAGTTTCGCACATGACTTCACCGTCCTCTGTTTGTTGTCCGATCTTAAATTGAAAATTTTCGCGGCTTCTTACCGTCATGGCCCCAGGCCGCCCGTATACGCATCCAACCGTCCCAGCCTACCGTAGTGACCTATCTTTAAGTCCCTAATTTATTTGGTAACAGGCCGGTTTTTATTATCGTACTCGTGCCTGGGGGCGGCACTTGGGTATTTTTTGGGTGGGTATGTGCCGCCCGGGACTCCAGATTGGCAGCCCGTTCTAAAAAAAATTTCCCCTAAAATTGATACCCCGTTCTAGAAATGGGCCAATTTTTTATACCCCGTTCAAGAATTCGCCCTAAAGCTGATACCCCGTTCTAGAAATGGGCCAATTTTTTATACTCCGTTCTAGAAAGTTTGCAAATTGAAATAGCCCTGTTTTTTAAAAAAGATATTTCTTTATTTGTTCGACTTATACATCAAATAAATGCTTCTCCATAATCAGCAACAATTTTAAGCAGAAGATAAAGCCGTGATCCACAATTTTTTATACCCCGTTCTAGAAAACGCCTCTGAAATGGATATCCCGTTCTAAATCAGGAGCTTCAAAATCACGAACCCGTTTTGCGGCACATACCCGTATAGGTAATGTATGGGAGTACCCCCCGGGTACTCGTGTTTCTTCGTTGGTTATTAATTTATTAATAATTTGAATTAATTACCGTAATATCATAAGTGACGAATTACTCCTTGATTTTGGCGCGAAATTTCAGCGATAATTTGTAATTTCACATGTGAAATTACAAAATTGCCATGGCAACCTTCCGTACATCTCAGTGTCAAGATGGCGACGAAGTTTTAAAATGCCGTGAATGAAGATGTCAGGGCACAAAATCCTGAACACACAAGAGAACATCAAGAAGGATTCTATAGGAAAATTCATTACCTGAAGAGGGAATTCCACGTTAAATTGCACGCGAAAACCGATATCGCACGAATCGCGAAGCGATGAGTGCGATATCGGTTTTCAAGTGCAATTTAACGTGGAATTCTCGAGTCAGGTAATGAATTTTCCTTGAATCGCATAATTGAATAAAAATCAGAAGAAAAAAAAAGAAAACAGCAATAATATTGTTTGTTTTTATCCTGAGCGCGCACTCCAGAAAGCCATTTCAAAGTCAACTGTCAGAACTGTCATTGCGTTAGCGAATAGGAAGCAAGGTCAGTCGTACACGTTTGAACCTTCGACAACTTTTTTTGTACCTTGTGCTTGTTTTTACATTTGTTTTCAAACTTTTTTACATGTAAACAAGCTTCACACTAATCGTAAGGATAAATAGAGGTATTTTACTGAATTTAGAAGCCGTTTATGTAGAACGTCTTTTTTCAAATTGGTCATTTGCTCGAGAGGGAAAATAATTTACACCTTTTACCTCCTCGGCGGCAAAACGGAAAGAAATCAGGTGTTTAACGTCGCGATTGACATAAGGTAAGTACCTTGAAATGTTTTAGAAATGCTGTTCAAGTTCAGCTCTGTTTTGTACTTTTCTAAGTACCACGATTCAGGACGATTGCAAGCGGCGTACTCTTTTTCGTGTTTTCAGGGGCCATGTCCTCTTTGAAGGTATTTATTTCTTCTTCTGTATATGTGACAATCGACCCCGGCACTTCCTCCGTTGTCGTTTCTCCGTTTTGTTTGGTTGAACTTTGGATTGCCATTTTCTGGGCCGTGTTCACAGGATTTTCTTGTTTTCTGGTTGTCGCGAGTGAAAGAGGTTTTATGTCTCTTCGAGAATCTGTAGTTCAGTTCAAAACAAGGAAGAACCTCCGGCTCACTTTAAAAAACGCTTTTGTTTGTTTTTAACTCTTCAAAAAGTGACAATGAATGGTTTTAAAAACATTTTAAAATGACATTGTAGAAAACCTTTTTTGCATGTTGTTGTGTTAGAATTTGACGATAGTTGTTAGGTAGACGCGAAACAATATCGCTTAGCCTCGTTTTCAACTCGCAATTCCACACTAAATACCTCGCTTCGTTAACCAATCAGAATGCGAGATTTTACTTAATTATGTGATTCTAACAGGTATTTTGCCGAAAAAGTCTGAAAAATTCTGAACTTTACAAGCCAAATTTAAGGTCTAAACATTTGAGATAGTGGAGTTCTCGATCGATATGATGCAGGATAAACATGTCGAAAATCCAAGATTACTAACGTAATTCGTCACCCATGATATTAATAGGTAATCAAATGGTATACTCGTGAAATTAGGGAACAATTTCACGTGCGTTTTGTCCAAATCCTAATAATTTCCCTCGCCCAAAGGCTCGGGAAATTATAAGGATTTGGACAAAACGCACGAGAAATTATCCCCTAATTTCACTCGTCACCATTTGATTACACATACCTTAGCCTCCCCGCAGACGTCCTTTGGGGTTGGTTTGTCACGCATTCATTTCTCCCCCAAGGACGACGTCCGTGGGGGAGAAATGAATGAGTGACAAACGAACCCCAAAGGACGTCTGCGGGGAGGCTACACATACCTTTACTCTCTCTGGAATTGTTAAGAAATTAATAACCAACAAT